CAATAAAGTTCAATATCTAACTTAGCCTAGAACACACTTACACTAGGTGTTGTGAGAAGTACCAAAAAGTACAAAACGTTGCCCCTTTTCTAAGGATAACTACATACATTTTGAGTTTTCATGTATATCAATCTCATTTAAATATCACAAACCACCTGGGAGACAGGATTGTGCTCATTCTCATTTTAAGGATTTGCTTTTATTTTAGAAGAGAATGAACAGCACTGACTATGGGTGATTTTTTAATAATAAGTGGAGTCACTTGCCTGGGTTGTGGGCTCAGTCCCCCAGTGTGGGGCGTGCAGGAGGCAGCTGATCAACGATTCTCTCTCATCAACTGAGATTTCTATCTCTCTTTCTCTCCCTCTCCCTTCCTCTCTGAAATCAATAAAAGAAATATTTTTAAGTGAGGGGTGGGACACAGAGGGGGATTAGGGAGGTTGGACGAGCAGGGAGGGCCAGGCTAAGGCCACGTAGATATCATAAAGTTACTCAAGCACCAAACTACAGAAGGCCCACCTTGTACATGCAGGAAGGCTACCAAGCGGAAGACATGCTACATGTCCCAGGAGCTCATCTTCTTTCTGCCCCTCACCCTAAAACCCATTTACCCAGCATTTGAGATAACACATATCAGTCAAACCATCAGACAGTTCCTGGATGGGCAAGTTGTCGCAGTTAATGCTGTTTGTGAAAAACCTCAGCTGGAGAGCATTTTATTAACATCTGTCACAACTCATCAGCTCAGCCTATGCAGACGTGTATTGCAGCTTTGTATTAAGAATGAAAGGAAGCAGTCCCTTTTCTCCCAGCCTCCCTTTCTTCAGTGGCATACAGGTGCTGCCATCATGTGGCCGCAGAGAGCACAGCCATGCCATTCTGGACAGATTCCACAAAAATATCTCCCGATTAGAAAGACGGGAATTTATTAGAACAAGAAACGTAAAGGCAATTCTCGAATTAAACAAAGACCTATGAACGCAAGTCCTTAGTTTAATATATTGGCTTCGGCGGTGGCTATGTAGAACTCAAGAGCCTCTTGAGTTTTGAAAGCTCTTCAAAAGAACCTGTAAGTGGTGATGGGTTTTCATAGCTTGTCTACCAACACCTACGTGGCCCATACAAACTTCGCATATAGCACTATCCCAGCCCTGTCTCGTGGCCATGTGTAACCAGTCCACCAGCAAAACGTGCATGGGCTTCCAGCTCAGGGTGGCATGCTGCATCACCCGGGAGCGAAACTGGCTCCCACTCCTCAATCTGAACAAGTAGCTAATAGACACTGTCAGTGACACAGCTGCAGAAGTGGCCCCTGGGCCGTCAGCACTCTGGGCCCCCAATGAGGCAGGTTTCTAGGCAACCCCAACTCTACCTTTGCTAAGGAGAAGGAAGAGGGCTCCTGAGACACTCTACTGCAGGGGTCCTCAAACTTTTTAAACAGGGGGCCAGTTCACTGTCCTTCAGACTGTTGGAGGGCCGGACTATAGTTTAAAAAAAAAAACTATGAACAAATTCCTATGCACACTGCACATATCTTATTTTGAAGTAAAAAAAACCAAAATGGGGAACAACTACAATATTTGTATTTGCATGTGGCCCACGGGCTGTAGTTTGAGGACCCCTGCTCTACTGTCATTTGTCAGGCTTTTTTGAGCACCTCCTAAGTCCCTGACCCTGAGTGCTGGAAACAGAGAACCCTTGAATATGACCCTTGCCCTTCAGGAAGTCACGGGTCAGGGGGAGAAATACACACAGATGCCCAAGCTCACAGGAGAATGTGGTAAGTGCCCTGTGAGAGACGAGGAGAGTGTTATCGAGGGAAGGCTGTGTGCTGAGCCCTTTAAATATAGTATGTATGTGCCAGGTGCTATGTTAACTGCTTACAAACATTAACCCGTTAGTTGTCATGTGAGATAGATGCTATGTTGTTCCATTGTTACGATCTGCAGCCATGAGCGGATGGGAACATGCCAGGCATAACCACCCTGTGACGTAGGGCCCTTGAGCTTCCCTCGCTTCCCCCTGTGATGTGCTGCATCTCGATGCCGCAGCAGCAGAGACGCACGTAGCTGAGACCAGGGGGTGGAGGTGGCTTCCCAGAGGCGATGACTCTGAAGCTGAGTATGAAGTATGAGTTGGAGACATGTGTCCTGGGAAGAGAAAGTGCCAAGACACAAAGCCATTAAGAACCCGATAGAGTCGGGAATTACAGGTGACTCACCAGGACGATAGAGGAGGCGCAGGGTGAGTAACAGGCGTGGTGCTAAGTCCCAGCAGGAGTTAGAGAATTATCTTAAGTGCAAAGTCGTTGGATTTGAAGATGGTTCGGTGGGAGGTCAGGTCATTAGGCCGACAAATTAGGAGGCTATCACAATAACCAAGGCAATGAATCCCAACTAAGGTACGCACCCTCAGGACAGAGAAGGAAAACTGCATTGGGCATATATTCATTGGTACAGATGAGTGTGCTCCTTGTTCACTAATCCCGGGCATCCCCCCGCCCCCTCTGCAGGGTAAAGCTCAAACCCTTTAGGCTAACAAAGAAGACCCTGCTCCGTCAGACGGAGCTTGTCTCTCAGCAGGTGCTTCCCCATGTGGGCAGGTGGCCCCATGCACAGCCCGTTCACAGTCCCCTCACAGACTGTGTGCACAGCTCCTCTCTGCCTGTGAAAGGGCTCTTTCCTGTGCCTCTCAGATGCCCTCTTCTTTGGCAAACCTACTCATCATTCAAAACCCCTCTCAGATGTCAACTCTTTGACTTAGCCATTGATTGAACATCTTTCAGTTGACATCCTCTTGGTATGAGATGCGGGGGTGATACACAAGAGGAGTTGGGGTGGCCCCCCAATGTGGCTTCAACTCCAGGACCCCCCTCCTGTCGACTCGCTCCATTTCACATCCATACCCTACACTAGTGTGTGTATGAGTCACCTGAGAACACAGGTCCAGACTCAGTGGTTCCAGGGTGGGGCCTGAAATGTTGTGTTTCTAACAAGATCCCAGGTGACGCTGGTCCTGCTGGTCTGCAGACTGACTGCATTTGTACATTGTCTCAGTGTCGTCTGATGAAAAAGCCATAAAGGCAATTATTTTTGTTTTTCTGCACTGAACTCTTTATTAAGGTAGAATTTATACACAGTGAAGTGCACAGAATTGAATTTAAATTCAATGAGTTTTGGCAAATGTATGCACCCCTGTGGCCTACGCCTCAATCAAGAACACTCGCAACATTTCCAGAAAGTCCGCTTGTTCCCCTTTCCACTGAATCCTCCAAGTGAAGATGGATCTATAGGGACCCAGTGTGATTCAGTTCAAGGAAATAGCTTTCTGATTCGGGAGGCTTCATCACAGGATCAATTCAAAGAGGAAAAGGGAAAACGGAACATCTTTCAGGCAACCCTACATAAAGAATATAAACTTCTGATCTGACCATGATTGAAGCTATTACCTTATAATAATTTATTTGTTCATTTTTTATTGATATGGTTTTTATTGAGTTTTAGAGATAGAGAGAGAGGCAGGGAGAGGAATAGAGAGATAGAAACATCAATGAGAGAGAAACATCATCGATAGGCTGCCTCCTGCCTGCCCCCACTGGGGATCGAGCCCACAATCCAGGTTTGTGCCCTGAGGGAATCGAACCAGTGACCTCTTGGTTCCTTGGTCGACGCTCCACCACTGAGCCACACCAGACAGACTATTTGTTCATTTGTTTTTTATAAATAACGCCACGTGCCTGGCCCTGTGCTTTGCATGGGATAGCAAGGTGAACGAACATGTTGGCCCTGTGCTCAGGGTGTTAACTCACCACTAGCAGGAGAAACCAACAGGGAACCTGCAGCTTCCTGAGAGAGCGAATTCTGGGATATAGTGCATTCCTGGCCAATACGAGGAAGGCTGGGGGGCATGAGATGAAGTACATGAGTCACTCGTGAATCTCATATTTTACACATCACCCTCTTGCACAACACTTCACAAAACGTCCCTTACAGTTTCTCATCTTACCTTCGCTTCAGCCCTGTGACAAGGCAGGTACGGCTACCATCATGCACCACAGAATGACAGGAATGCGGTGTGAGAAATGCCTCATTCAGCGACTTCATGGTTGTGTGAACACCATAGAGTGCACTCACACAAACCTAGATGGTATATAGCCCACTACACACCCAGGCTCTGTGGTACAGCCTACTGCTCCTAGACTATAAGCCTATACAGTATGTCACTGTGCAAAACATGAGATTAAATCAAACTTAAGAGGAAATGATGCAACCATGAGATGCGGTGAACACAAAATGGGTGAGGCCGCTCCTGGGTAGCACGGCATACGGTTCTACAGCAAACTTTTTTTTATAAGTAGAAAGAGCACACTCCACAATAATGATGAAAAGTGTTGTACAGTAAATACATGAATCTGTAACATAGTCGTTTATTATCATTATCAGTATTATGTACCGTACATAATTGTACATGCTGCTCTTTTATACGACTGGCAGCTCAGGTTTGTTTAGGCCAGCAGGAGTAACATAGGGTGTACTGTGACATTACCATGGCTACCACGTCGCTAGGTGATGGGAATTTTTCAGCTCCATTATCATCCTATGGACCACCGTCATATCTGCGGTCCGTTGTTGACCGGAACGTCATTATGTGGCACGGGACTATCTCCCCCTTGTAAAGCTATGAACACCGAGGCTGGGAGAGGTTGTCTCAAGGTCATGCACTCAGTTGCGAAGTGAGGCCTTCAGCTCCCTGAAAGTGCCCGTGGGTGTTGAGGCCAGCTGGGTGGCAGGACTCTCCGGGGAGCCCTGGCCCTGGCCCCTGCACAAGCATCTGGCCTGGCCGACAGGAGCAGACCCCTGTGCCCGTGACGACCCCCCTCCTCCTGGGAGGTGGACCTCAGCCGGCACTGTCCCTTCTGAAGAGTGTCCTTCCTGCATCCCCTGTGGGAGGGTCTCCACAGAGGCTGTTCTAATTGCCGCCCACCCTCTCCTGTGTTTCAGCATCTTGCCTCCCGCTCCTGCACCATGAAAACCCTGCTCTGTGACCTCCTGCTGCTCAGCCTCTTCTCCAGCGTGTCCAGCAGCTGTCAGCAGGACTGTCTGACCTGCAGAGAGAAGCTCCGCCCAGCTCTCGACAGCTTCGACCTCGAGGTAGGCTGTCTCCTCCTCCCCAGCTCCTCCAGAGCTGACCCTGAAGGAGAAACTGAGGCCTCGCCCCGGGGTCACGTGACTTGCCCCGTGTCACGTGGTTGTAGGGGAACAGAAACAGATGTGAGCATCTTCCTAGGGCAAACCAAATGCATACATCTGTAACATATTTATGTTCGCTTTACCACAGTCAAATAAAGGCCTGCCCACACTGCCACTTTGTTCCATCATTAAAACAGTGTATGCTCATGTTAGAGACATGGGCAAATTAGAGAAGTTTTAAAAAAGAGAACTGAAATCACATTTAATCCCACCAGTCAGAGAAAGAATCCTAGTGTTTCCTCTTGCCATATTATGCCAGGATAATTTTCCCGAGTTACTAAACATTATTTCTCTCTGTGAATACAGTAGAACTTGTTTAAGCATCCCCTCCTCCCCAGAGTTAAACATGCTTGTTGACCTCCATTGTTAATATAACAGATAATTCTACAAATAATCACCTAAAATGCTCTAATTTAAATTTTGCATTTGAAGTGCAAATCTGACATTAAATTTCTTTTTATTAAATAAGCTGCTTTCTCCACTGCCTTTTTTATTGGTCTTGTTAATCCTCACCCAAGGATATTTTTCCCACTGCTTTTTCAGAGAGTGGAAAGGAGGGAGGGAAGGAGGGAGGGGGGGGGTGCTGGAAGAGAGAGAAAGAGAAACATTGATGTGAGAGAGACACATTGATTGATTGCCCCTCGCATGAACCCCAACCAGTGCTGGGGAGGAACCTGCAACCCAGGTATGTGGCCTTGACTAGGAATAGAACCCATAGCCCTTCAGTGTGATGGCCGACGCTCTAACTACTAAGCCATATGAACCAAGGCTCCACTGCTTTTGTTTTTACCTAAATAGTTATTCCTCTCCTATTAAATCCAATGTAATTCCATTATCTTTTATTCTTTGTAGTTAAATAAACTCCTTTCAAAAGATGCCTGTTTCAAACTCCTCAACCTTTAAAACAACCAAAAGTAACTATGTCCCTTAGGGCGAGTGTACAAACATAGAAACCACGTATTCGAGCTGGGCCAAGGTACCAGCGGTGAGCAGACTCAGCCCAACGGGCCTAAATGCCAAGCTCTTCCCACCCTGTAGTTCTCAAGCCTGTTTCCTGAGCAGTAATATCTACTGCATCGCGAAAAGTATTCCCTGATAACCCTTTCAAAGTGTATCCGCCCCTCATTCATCCATCATGGTTTTTCTGACTAGGACAAGGGATCCAAAGGTGAGCAGACGGATGGGCCTTGCAACCAGTGGGAGAAGAACCCACAGTCCCTCTGAGAGAGAGTAATTACTGGTGCTGGGGAAACAGAGCAGTGGGCCCCAACCTTGTCTAGAGCAGCAGAGAGGGCTTGTGGAGGAACTGAATGTCCAAGGAGACCTTATGATGAGTGGGAGAGAGCCCAGCCAGCATGGCTCAGGGGCTGAGCATCGGCCTAAGCACCAAAAGGTTGCGGTTTGATTCCCGGTCAGGACACATGTCTTGGTGTGGGCTCGATCCCCAGTGTAGGGCGTGCAGGAGGCATGATCAATGATTCTCTCTCATCATTGATGTTTCTCTCCCTCTCCCCCTTCCTCTCTGAAATCAATAAAAATATATTTTTTAAAAAGATGAGTGGGAGTGAAGAGGCAGCGAGTGGGCCCCAAATAGTAAAGGGAGGCATGGGGGCAAGAGGGGAGGGTGGAGGAGGGGGGCATTTGCAAATCCTATATGAGGGAGGGGCATGGCATTTAAGGAACTGAGAAAAGCGGAGTTTGTCTAGAGCAGTGGTCGGCAAACTGCAGCTCAGCAAACCGCGGCTCGCGTCTGGACTATAGATACATATGTGGGTATCTATCACTCACAGGTGATAGATACATCATGGTGTGGGATGAGATCCCAAGGGAGAAAAGGTG